ATGAGCCCCTTTTTATATTATAATCCACACTATCATCATCAAGTTTTTGAAAGATGGTGGGCGTTTACTGTTATGTAATCATCAGACATAACTCAATAGAAACATGAATTATCAAGGCAATAATGGGTACTTCTTAACATCCACAATTAGAGTAGTTCATTATGTTATATTTATTAAAGATTATATTGAGCAATATATCTCAGACAGACCAGAACAATTTAAATTGGCTCTAAGACATTTTTGCACAACCTTTAGTGGTGTGATATCCAACTTTTTTAACATCAAATCTATTAAGAACACTCACATTTGATGATGGGTGTATTTCTTGCAAGGTTTAGGCTTTGTTTTCAATGTCCAATGTCGAATATTTCTTCATTATTTGACATTTACAAAGTGCTGAAGTCAATTATCTACAGCAAAATACATTGCAAAACTCAAGGGCCTGTAGGAATTAAGCATCATGTTAAAAACAGTTTACTAAACACTTTTGATGGAATATCAATGGAACCAACTGTTTTAAAGAATTGAAGTAGATGCTCAACATGCACTAATTAAATTTTTTTTTCATGTACAAAAATTTTAAGATCATGAAAAGCAAATTAGATGAAAACTATGATATACACACAATGTGTATATTCTATCAAAAAAGTCATACCAAAAATAAAAAACAGTATGAAGCTTACCAAATTAAGACATCATGTTTTCAATACTACTAAGGTTCATCAGCATTTTCTTCATATTTTCTTTTTCCTCAATGGTTTTTAAATTCACACAAAACTGTTCAACCTTTTGTTCTTGATACTTTTTAAGAAATTGGAAACACTTTTGCATTGTTGCTCCTATATATAAAATGGTGATGTTTGCTTTCTTCTTTTCAATTTCACTTATTAATGGTAACGTACTAGTGATTAATTTGTGAGGTCCATGCCTTACACGGATTATACCAACTCGAGTTTCCTTATTGCAATATTTTGCTACAAATCCAGTTTTACATGCTGCAACACCAAAATCACCATGAAGCTGTTGTAATCTTTCTAAAATAGCATTATACAAGGTACTGTTGTTCAGATTCAATTTATTATGTTCTTCTTTAGTATTTTGCTCATTAATTTGGAATATGATGTACCTAAAAATTAATTAAATCAGTTAAATAACAGTGAACATTAAATAATGATATGTACCTATTTTTATGGCGCACCATTTTAATTGCAAGTTGATATTATATTCTTTGTTTATTATCATTACAACAAACGTCTGCGGTCAGTTTTCCACATCTTCCAGTAGAATACAATTGTTGAATAAAATCATAGATAATAGATCTACAAAGGGTAGAATAAAATGATAGAGCCACGGTAGATTACGAATGGGAGCCACTAATCACGAACCAAAATTACGTGCATAGAAGCACATGCAAGATCGATGAATAAACATTGACAAATGAATGAAGACTTAATCTAATCTATGGACTTAAATCCATAGGACCATAGCATCCATAGACTTAATCTATGACCATAGATTATGGTTATATGTTAATAACCAGTTGTGTGAACTGGCACCTGATATGATTAATCCTCCGATTTAAATATTACCAATAAATTGTGCGTCTAATTCTTAGTATAAGATATAATTCTTGTTTATGGACTGTAGTTATGGACATAATTGTCTATGGACATAATTAATTAAATAGAATAGCACTGTCCAGCTCTATGATCCAGCTGCCAAGCTGCCAAGTTTAGGTTAAATGACCTGACGTCGGTTGTTCATTCACATAATGTGTTTATATTATCAATGTGTGTTTATTTTTCATTAGTAATGTAGCATTTAAGAACTAAACGGAGTTATAAAAATTATATTGTTTGTCGTTTTATTAGGAACGTGTTGCGCTGAAATTAAGATAACTGGGAGTTTTGCAGTTAAACAGACATTAATAAATAGGTATATAGTTATCTGAAGAGAGAATAATATCAGCACCTTAATTTGCAACCAATTGTATTACATAGCGCAATGACTTCGGCTTTGTACTTGGAGCATTATTTAGACAGTAATGGAAAAATACGTTTTAGAAAACACAAATCTAATTTGAAGCTGTTCTAGGTTTGGAACATTTACCCATAGAATTACAACGAAATTTTACCCTAATGAGAGACTTGGATACAAGGGCCCAAGGTTTAATGAAGAATATTGACTCATTAGCTGATAATTATCTGCGAAATCAGAAAAATTTAATACCAGAAGAAAAGAAAGAAGAGCTAGATAAAATACAAAGTCTCTTCAACAAAGCCAAGGTATAAATGAAGTAATTTTGTTGATCCTGTTTAAAGCAAATAAATTACAGAGAAGTAATTCTTTGTTAACTATAGGAATATGGCGATGATAAAGTACAGTTAGCAATACAGACTTACGAATTAGTTGACAAACATATAAGAAGATTAGATTCAGATTTAGCAAGATTTGAAGCTGAAATTCAAGATAAAGCAATCAGCCAATCTAGAAATCAAGAAGAAAATTCTGTTGGTAAAAGTATGTATAGTATAATTATGTTAAATATGGTTATATGTATCTTAAATTAGCACATTATTTTTATATAAAATTCACTTTAAACAGAAGGAAGGAAGAAAATTAAAGATGTTAAAGATAATAAGAAAAAGCGGTCAGGGAATTCGAGTGAAGAAGATTCAACTGGTACAGGAAGAGGAATAAAAAAGAAAAAACAAAAAGGTTCAAGTACTATATCTGCCATCAGTGGTGGAACAGTTTCTGTTACAAAAGCTGCAGGTGAATTTTACAACTTATATGAATATGATCCTAGTTTTATTTCCTTATTTTCTTATTAATGTTTCAAAAACAGGAAGCAATAAGTACTCATGATTTTAGTAGAATATTTATTGACTTTTATGCTTATAGATGCAGTTTTGCCAGCACTTGCAGGAATTGCGCACCCTAGTGATGTTTTGGACATGCCAGTAGATCCTAATGAACCTACATATTGTCTTTGCCACCAAGTGTCTTATGGAGAGATGATTGGCTGTGATAATCCAGATGTAAGTATAGTGGATATTGTTTCCATTAATTTGTGAATTAAATGTCTAATAAATTTGTTATAAGTTGTTAATTTGGTTTGTTAACAATTTATGAATTTATATTTCAGTGTCCAATTGAATGGTTTCATTTTGCTTGTGTTGGTTTAACAACAAAACCAAAAGGTAAATGGTATTGTCCAAAATGTACTCAAGATAGAAAAAAGAAATAAGCAGTTAAAGGCAATCATTCCACCTAATTTATACAAACTAAATTTCTATTTATAACTTTTTTATTTTGATTAAACATGTATTTATTTGGAAATAAATATAAACATTTTTATATGATTGATTTTCCTTGACATCAGCATATTTATAATAACAATTTACTAATAAGTAACCATTTCACATTAAATTTAGAATGTTACCGTTAAAAAAATAAATGCTTGTTAATTATTCTGAAATATTACCATTATGAAAACTACATTTTTATAATCAAATCACAATTACTGTCTCGTATACAAATACGTATAAGAAATTGCAGTTAAATTTTTAAAAGACAATTTCTTTAAATGGGTATACATTAAAAAAAATAAAGAAAGAAACAAAAATCCATTTGAGTATATTATAATATATACATATAAAGTCGTAAATTAATTAAAATTACCTTCCTTTAGTAAAATTCTCGAAATTTGACTACAAATACGAATAATAATCATTTAGTCTCATTAGATGGCTTTACTCTAAACATCCTGTGTATTTATTAGTCATGGGTAGTGTCACAATAAATATTTTCAATGTTTTTGAGTTTTTTTTGCGCTTAGGGGCTGTCCATATTATTATAATTAAGCAATATTAATTAATTATTGACTCCCCTCTACTAAATAGGAGAGTAACGTCTGAAAACTCCGCCACATTTTGTTTTATAGCAGTTTTGTAGTTTTAAGTTTGAATTTAGAACTTATCAAGAGGAATCATCTCTCTTCCCAATTTGCTAAAGTTATTTGTGGATGATCCCATATAGGTACTTACATTCTTACATGCATCTTTCATTTGATACCCTCGTGCCTGTTCACGATACTCGGGAAAGTACATACTCCAAGAACTAGAACTTTTTCGCGCCAAAATTTATGGTGTACGTTTTACTCACGCATGTCTAAGACATGCAACCAGTCATTCCGCACCTGTTTTCTACTTGCATTTGATCGTATTTCTGTTACAAAAAATATTTTGCGGAAACAGGAAGTCAAATCTCTATAAATAGTTGAATGTTTTATCCTTTACTTTATATAGAACCTGAAATTCATAATGAACAACCGAATTAACAAAACAAATTTCCACTTTAAAAGTGGTGGTAAAAAAATCGGAATGAATTCAGTATGTATTGTGTCAGAATCAAAACGGATATTAGAAGAATATCGTAATGTATTTACATTTATGTTAAATAACAAACCATTTCATCAAAAAATATTTTATTATATTAAATATAAACATTTTTATATGATTGATTTTCCTTGACATCAGCATATTTATAATAACAATTTACTAATAAGTAACCATTTCACATTAAATTTAGAATGTTACCGTTAAAAAAATAAATGCTTGTTAATTATTCTGAAATATTACCATTATGAAAACTACATTTTTATAATCAAATCACAATTACTGTCTCGTATACAAATACGTATAAGAAATTGCAGTTAAATTTTTAAAAGACAATTTCTTTAAATGGGTATACATTAAAAAAAATAAAGAAAGAAACAAAAATCCATTTGAGTATATTATAATATATACATATAAAGTCGTAAATTAATTAAAATTACCTTCCTTTAGTAAAATTCTCGAAATTTGACTACAAATACGAATAATAATCATTTAGTCTCATTAGATGGCTTTACTCTAAACATCCTGTGTATTTATTAGTCATGGGTAGTGTCACAATAAATATTTTCAATGTTTTTGAGTTTTTTTTGCGCTTAGGGGCTGTCCATATTATTATAATTAAGCAATATTAATTAATTATTGACTCCCCTCTACTAAATAGGAGAGTAACGTCTGAAAACTCCGCCACATTTTGTTTTATAGCAGTTTTGTAGTTTTAAGTTTGAATTTAGAACTTATCAAGAGGAATCATCTCTCTTCCCAATTTGCTAAAGTTATTTGTGGATGATCCCATATAGGTACTTACATTCTTACATGCATCTTTCATTTGATACCCTCGTGCCTGTTCACGATACTCGGGAAAGTACATACTCCAAGAACTAGAACTTTTTCGCGCCAAAATTTATGGTGTACGTTTTACTCACGCATGTCTAAGACATGCAACCAGTCATTCCGCACCTGTTTTCTACTTGCATTTGATCGTATTTCTGTTACAAAAAATATTTTGCGGAAACAGGAAGTCAAATCTCTATAAATAGTTGAATGTTTTATCCTTTACTTTATATAGAACCTGAAATTCATAATGAACAACCGAATTAACAAAACAAATTTCCACTTTAAAAGTGGTGGTAAAAAAATCGGAATGAATTCAGTATGTATTGTGTCAGAATCAAAACGGATATTAGAAGAATATCGTAATGTATTTACATTTATGTTAAATAACAAACCATTTCATCAAAAAATATTTTATTATATTAAATATAAACATTTGTACTTCGTATTNGCGGGGGGAACAGGGGGGGAACGATTGCAAGCCCGAAGGCGTTAACAAAATGGAGGATAACAACAAAAAACACCCACATGACACAAGAGGGGGACGGGGCCGACCAATCAGAGGACAAAATCTAACGAGCGGAAGTGCCGTAAGAAAAGCATTGGGAGATAAGGAGATTTGCCCCTAGATATCCTACTGATGTCGTGTGGATTATGGAAAGATATATTGTCCGTAACCAACAGATTAGCATTGCAAGCGTCAAATTTAATTTTGAACATGGACTCCAATATAGCAGAATGTTATATGCAGTGTTAGCAAAATTTACAGGGGGAAAACGCATTAAGTTTTCTTTGAGGGGATCACAACAAGCACGCTGCGAAACGGCAGGTATTTCTTTCAATTGCAAAGGAGAATATGCGAACGTAGTCCATCGTGCGATGATAAAAAGAAGTCCAGGTAAGTACACCAAAAAAATTCACGGCTGGAAAGATGACCTTGCGGGATAAATACAAGTGCAGGCGAAATTTATTCAGGAAAACAAAGCGCAATGTAAATGCTACACCGCTCGTTGATTCAGAAATGTCACAAACGGACATGTGTCCTACTGAGTACGCAGAAAAAGTGGAATGTCACAAATACCTGTGAATCAAATTTCCAATATATGGTTTTTCTTAGCCAGAGAAAGATCTTTTAGGTTTATTAGGTTATTTTGTAAAAACGTGG